TATACAGGAACATGCCAATGTTGAACCATTGTCAAGGGAGAGATCAGTTGACATTAGTGTTATATTTACTTAATACTTTGAAGTGTAAAAGCTATCTTTAAAAATTTAATTCTGATCTAAATAGCTAATTCTTGTATTGAATTACCACCACTGTCTCCTGCCAAAGAAGAATTTCTGGGTGCTAAAATTAGCAATATTAGTAAGTTCATTATGGATATTTTCGCTAGCCTGTATCCTAGTCCTGTGTGAAATCCCCAGTTTGATATAAAAAAGATAATAAACTATGATGCTGTGCTCATAAATTTGTGATAACAACTTGTGTTGCTGGTGGCTTTAGAGCTTTCACCTATGGTTTCATTAGATGATGATAGTGGCTGTGCATTTGCTGGTGTTGTCTTTGGTTTTTTGAAAAGAAGCAGTAATTAGTTTTCACTCAAAAATAAGTAGTCACAGGTTTTGAAAGCACACAGAATAATGCAGCCATGTATTTGTTTCTGTATGTGTCTCTGATGGTATGAGATGTGATGAAAATATTTATTTCATTTGCTTATGGTTTAATAGATGGCCTTGCAAGTTGTAGGACGAGAATTTCCAGATTCCTGTCTTTTGCATATATAGAGCACCTTTAGCTAATCGGCACAAAAGGCAGTTTTGGATGCATTCTATTCAATACATACCATCCTAGGAATTTTGGTCACATTAACTAGAATGTAGTTGACTACCTATCATTTCCCTTTTTTTCTGATCTATAAAAATCCATACCTTGTTTTTCGTGCTTATTGATCGATCATTCTCTGAGTATTTAGTTTGACACTACATTAAGAGAATATATTTTGGAGGACTGGAAGAATAATGGCAATTTTTAATCATTCCTATTTATTTCATCTACATTTGTCATTCATCTTTTTTTAGTATTGGGAATTGAACCCAGGACCTTCTGCATGCCCGGCATGTGCTCTCCTACTTAAGTCCCACCCTCAGGCCTTTTATTTAAATTTGGGGACTGGCCTAGAACTTGAGATCTTCCTACTTCCAATAGTAGTTTTCCTTTAAAATATTTGGCAGTAAAATTCTGTGTTAAAAGGCAAGTCAGTGAAGGATGTGTGTGTGTGTGTGTGTGTGTGTGTGTGTGTGTGTGTGTGTGTGTGTGTGTATGCTCGTGTATTCACTAGTGTACATATGTTCTCACACTTGTACGTGAGAGTTCATGGACAGAGGAAATTTGGGAAAGAAAGAGGGAGTTTTGTAGTATTCTGGAAAAGGAATGTTTATACTTCTTGGTTATCATGAAACACAATTATTTTTTATTGAAGATGAATTTCAAGTGTAATTACAGAGTAATTACAATTCTCTCTAAAGAATCCAATTTTCTCTAAAGAAAACTAATAGCTAAATGTGAAATCAAATTTGTGAACAGATATTAATTGCTGCTGTTCATGAATTCGTTTTAGCTGATTCTCCATGCTACTGAGAGCCTATTTCTAGGAGTGAAACAATTGTCCTGTTCAAATCTAGTGTGCCCCTCACTTGCAAGTGTCCATTCTGTTGTAGAAGTGGACAATAATAGTTAAACTTTGAAGATAAACAGTTTTTTGATTGACTTGATAGAGAATAATGGTGCTTTTGTACAATTCTTGAAATAGAGCCTACAGCTATCCCAAGCAAAATAGTCTTCCAGATCTTGGAAATAATGACATCATATGTAGATTGAACCAGTGATCCATTAAAACTGTACTTTGTAACAAGCTGTCTCCAAAAAAAGATATGGCTTAGGAAGTTGGTATCATTTACAATCATAACAAATCTCCTTTTCCTACATTTGTGGAATATGAGATACTTCCACTCAGGGAAACAAATGCATTAACATCAAGGCTTCCTTAAATGTTCCTGCCTTTTCTTCATAGATCCAAAAGTGAGCTTTGAAGCATTTGCTTTGAAAGTGGGCTAAAGATAACAAGAACTTCATGCATTTATACTTGTGTCACAAAATCAGGATTTTGTGGAGTAAATACAATACGATTATTATTGGTTGTACCTTGAAAAGCATAATAAGCATTGAGGTAAAATCAGGATAATTCAAGCAAAACTAACTCTAGTTTCTAGGTAAAGAGATGATTAGATTTAGCTCATGCTATACTATGTTTTCAGTGTGGAACAGGATATAGGTACTTCATTCTCATTTCCATGTCCCTATAAGGTTTATTCCAACTCCTCTTAGGACATTAATGAGTTGAATGGAATTAAAACAATTCCAGTATAGTAGAAGTAGAAAGATTTGTCTTATAAGTTAGGTTCTTGGCACACTGACTATGATAATGATAAGGAGAGTATGTGTTGAAATTTGGGCTTTTGATTACTAGTGCAACACAGAAGAGAATTAGAGTTTTATAGCCCAAGTAGGTCTTCTCAACCTAAACTACACATGGTAAGGTGATGTCAAGGGCAATCAGGTAGCCTGAAAAGAAGCAGGGCATCTACCACCTTCTCCAGTTAGAGTGTAATTAGAGAGGAAAAAGACCACTGTGCTGTGAGCCACACCTATTTATCAAGACCTAAGGAGCACAGTATTCTAAATTATGTAGTTGCCCTAGAATCCTTGCTGTCCTAGACTCTCACTTGCCTTATAATGCAAGATCTAGATTGCTGTAAAGAGGTCAAACATGTTGCTTTAACTTCTGTCATCTTAAGTTAAAGAATATGTCATCAGAATAAGTTAAAGAATATATCATCTGGAGAATGGTGGCTCTCTGTTCCTGTTAGACACTTTTTTTCCCTGAAATCTATCTTCTGGATATTTCTATTTAAATACTCTATTTCTTTCCAATAATTTCCACGTTTAATTTTTACCAAGATAGATTCTGAGATTTGCATAACAATCACCTCATATTTAGACATTAATTTTGAATGGCAGAAAAATCAATCTGGTGGCAAATTCTTCTCAGTAGCTAAAATAAAGTAGAAAGAATGTCATAGACGGGTTAAATAAATCTTAACCCACTTTTTTCATTATAAGAATGGTGAATATAGAAGGAGCAAAATAATCAAAATGTGAAAGAGAATGTAGAATTAATGCTGGTTTCATGTTCTTGTTAGAATATTTACTGGTTCTGTTGATACTTAGGTATGTAATTTATGCTTGATGCCACAGTTACTTTTTCATTGTACCTCATGTCCTACACCTACCTATATAGGAACATATAAGGCTGATCAACTTGTGAGAAGTAGAAACAAAACAAATATTGGTGAGTGCTTTCACTATTGTAATACTTTAAAAAATTCAGAATTTGTTTTATTTTATTAAGAAAGTATAAGACATGACAAAGAAAAAGATCTTCTATCCAAATGGAAATCAAGCCTATTGATAGTTGGCAGTCACTTGAGCAGAAGATATATTTATTAATATCAATCAATCAATAAATAAATAACTTATTGTTAAAACTTAAGAGAAATTAAAAATAGTGAAAATTAAATTTTATTGGTATATATTAATTATTCAAAGAAAGTGTTTCATTTAGATAATTTCATACACAGATATAGAATTTAATTTGATCATACTTATCTCCCTATTACTCTCTTCTTGTGCTTATTGGTCTTCTTCTTCTCAAATAATCCCCCTTTTACTTTGTATCATTTTGTTTAAATATATAGACTATATATGAGAAGGAACATGCAATATTTATCTTTCTGAGTGTAGCTTGTTTTGCTTAACATGATGATCTCCAGTTCTATCCATTTTCCTATAACAACATGATTTCATCAAATCTAGTAAAATTTTATGTAACAATTTAACAGTCAGTTCATTATGGAAAATAATAAACACATTGTAACCACTAAAAGACTAAAGTGTATTCCATTACATCATTTCTTATTTCTGTAGTTAATGAGAACTTGACCCTTTTTTATTCTCATTGCTGTACTTAGATTTGCTAGTAATGTTGTTAGACTAAAATGATATGCTAAGTCATATTTAGAGATTTCTCATATTCCTTTGTGATGAGAGTTGATTTTCCTTGTAATCAAACTAAAGATTCACTTGGAAGGTAGCTTTACCAATAAATTTGTGCTGACAAGTGTCCTGGTGTAAGATGAAAACTTGAGTTAGAACATGTAAACAGTTGAAGACAGAAACTTCCCTGAAGAGTCAATGCTTTTCCAGTTTACTTCCATCTCCCAATGAAATGAAATCCAAATATACCTGGCTTTGGCATAAGACGCTAAAGAATTATGAAAATAAGAACAAATAAATTGCTAAAATCCAGACTCAGCCTGGTTACCTCTGTCACTTCCCTTGTTCTTTTTCTAGGTCATAAAACTTGACAGAAAATAAGGTTATAGCTTCTCAGGGCTCTGGAGCTCATCTTTGTTCATGGTGACATTCAAACCACTTCTATCTTTCACCTGCTTGGGGGAGAAGGTGCTCTATTGTTTTCCCTAACAGTACATGCCAATTCTACTGTAACTGCAGACCTATGGAGTGGATACTTGATTCATTACCTTAAAAACAGCACAGAATATTTTATATATCAGGTATGCACAAAGAAGAAATAGACATCACGTGGTTGTGGGTCATTAAACATCAATAGCCAAACCAGTGTCTGTTCTAAATTCTGAGGAGTTTGTGTGCCACTTGAACACTACAGTCACCAGTATATGGTTGTAAAGATGATCTTAAATTATTGAGAGATTGTATATGTAAAACACAAAGTAAAATGTCATTGTAGGAAAAACAAGGGACCCTAAGAGTTTGTGTATATGTATAGATCAATTGATCATTTTTGCCTTCACTTTCCTCTTTTTACAGGCACATTGTAATCTTTGAGGAAATAAATCCCTTCCCTCTAGAAGGGGAAAAAACGTTCAATATAATCCACATAAAACCTGAGAAAACATGAGAACAATATGTTACATTTGCCATATTTACTAGATATGTTTCAGGCCAGTCCCTCCTTAATATCTATTTTTTCCTCCTTTAGGAACTGTGAACTCAGCTGTAACTGAAAATGTCTGACAGTCTGGATAATGAAGAAAAACCCCCAGCTCCCCCAATGAGGATGAATAGCAACAATCGGGATTCTTCAGCACTCAACCACAGCACCAAACCACTTCCCATGGCTCCAGAAGAGAAGAACAAGAAAGCCAGGCTACGCTCTATCTTCCCAGGAGGAGGGGATAAAAGTAAAGTATCAGTGGCCGGGAATTGAAAAGGGGCTAGTTTATTTTCACTGTTACTTTTCTTTCGTGGTCCATCATTTCTTTAGCATTGAATGTTCAGGACTTGCCTGACCTTTACATCTACATCCTCAAAGGTTACCTTTTGTCAGAGGATCATGTTTAATTGACTTACTGTGGCATGATAGAAAATATACATATGATGTGTTTGCCTTTCCCATAAAGTTGAATTTTATAACATTAAGTCAAGGGAAATCATAACAACAGTACTGGGTTGAGTATATAAACAGTAACTTTCTTTGTGTTACCATAGAATAGAAGTTAAAGCAATCTCTTCCTAATTGCAAGTTAGCACTTTTGGTAATTTAAATATTGTTATATTTACTTCTGTATACCTTTTTGGTAACTGAAGATTGTGAATTGCACATTTGGGAGTCAGTCCATGTTGACACAAGTTGTCTGCCTATCTGTCTGACCATATCACAAGACAGGAAGAAACAGTCACTTATTCCCTTTTTTATTCTAACAATTGACCCCTACAGAATCAGTTCTATGTGCACTAAATATCAAAATATATTATCATTTACTCATGTGGTGTTCATAATATAACTGGGTGCTTAAATATCATATGCTAACATGTAGGGATGATTGTGGGTATGAAATGTGTAGAAAGTAATTATTGGGTTTTATTAATTACCATAAAGCTGAAATGTGACTGCGAGAAGAATGTGAGAAGAGCCAGTACAAGAGGCATTGGCGCCACAGAAAGTAGCTAAAGGGGCAAGAAATTAGATGTCTCTAGAAAAGATACATTTTAGTTTGCTTCTTCAAGGTAAAACAAGTGGCTTTGTAGATGTTTATATCATGTTAATGGGTCTAGAATTTGTATAATAAAGAAAGCTTAAATTTGCATTAGTGCCAGCATACCCTTTTGTATAACTCTAAGATGTGTTATCCCTCATAACCTGTGGACAGAAAAATATGAATATGACATTAAACCTCTGGATTGAAGATGAGCAAAACAATAATAAAATACTTCCCATGCAAGGGATCTGTATCCACACATGAGGGATTTTAAAATAAAAAAGTGTTTACTACCACTGATATGGATCTTAAAAAAAAGTTTTTCTGGAAGCAATGAATTGTTTGTAAATTGAAGGATGTAGCATGATCTAGAGTCTAAATCTTCTGTAATGGTGATGCCAACGAAGGACCCCACATGTTGTATTTACATTAGCTGAAGAAAGTATTGAGGCTTCAATACTTTTTGGTGCTACCAAGACCACCAAGTGTTGGGAGTTCTTAAAAAATACTACTTACCCTTTTGAAGAGCAAGAGCCAACTAGCACTGACACGAAATCAGAAAAATCAGACAGACTAATATTACAGTTTTGTGCCAGTACTTCAAGGGATCTCAAAGTAAAACCATTTCTGCTCTTTTTTTTTTTTTTTTTTTTTTTTTTTTTTTTGGGTCCGGTCGTGGGGCCTGAACTCTGGGCCTGGGCGCTGTCCCTCAGCTCTTCAGCTCAAGGCTAGCGATCTACCACTGGAGCCACAGCGCCACTTCTGGCTTTTTTCTTTTTGCTTATGTGGTGCTGAGGAATCGAACCCAGGGCCTCGAGCATGCAAGGCAAGTGCTCTACCACTGAGCCACCTTCCCAGCCCCACCATTTCTGCTCTTGAGAAAACTATGTTCAAATCTTACCTAGAGAAAAGGCTGACTTGTGTCCAGTGCACTGACATGCAAAGTAAGCAGACTGGATGATTTCTCCCCCACCCCTTATCTGTCAGTTATGAGGCATGCACTCAGGGCCTGGGTGCTGTTTTTGAGCAGTTTTGCTCAAGACTACTGCTCTACCACTTTGAGCCCTAGCACAATTTCTGGCTTTCTGGTGGATAATTGAAGATAGTCTCACAGACTTTCCTGCCCAGCCTGGCTTTGAATCATGATTCTCAAATCTCAGCCTCCTGAGTACCTAGGATTACAGGTGTGAGCCACTGGTGCCTGGCTATTCCTTCTCTCTTTAAGGCATGGTTTCAACAGTGCTTTCTGGGAGAAATGCAAGACTCCTTCAAAGAAAGAAAAATCATTAATTCAAAGTCTTGCAGACTCATTATTCATTTTGTGCCTGACGTGCTTCTCCATTATCCATCCTCATGTAACCATTGTCTTTACTACCAATTGTTTCCTTGAGCACTTAGATATTTAAGTATTTAGATCAGCATTTGGTCCATCCATCCAATAAAGAATGTTAAACGAATGCACAGCTATACTGGTCTAAAAAATCTTATAAAGGTTCCTGTATATGAAAATCCCACTGCACAGGATTCCTATAGTACCACTGACTAATCCTGTATGCTTAATAAAAGGGGCATTAGGTAGTTGAACAGAGCCTGCCAATAATGTAACCTGGGAAACTTGGCTAGAGATGCTAAAATATCTTTTAGTGGCCTCTCCAGAAAGCAATGAATCTTTGTACCAAGAAGAACCTGTGAATGAAGATTAACTTTTGATACAGAAACAGTCATTGGCCAAAGCTGAATCTGAATCTATTCATACTAAGTGATGTGATACTGTAGGATGATCCTCATGAAGGTTCCAGTACCCCACATTTGATTATCATAAAAATTAGAAGTTTTGGGATGGGCCATGAATATAGCTATAAACAGAGGCAATTTTTTAAGGACAGGATTTTAATCTTCCCAGGAAAGCAATGGAAATGTATACCCCTATAAATCCCATGTTACCTGTTCAGCACTTGAATGATTTAGCAGAATTCCATAAAAAGGTACTGCAATTATTTCAAAAACAATTACATTGGGCACAAATCACCTTCAAGGGAACTTAAGCCATCAAGTGCCATTTAATTCCCTTGCTGCTTTCAAATAAAGCCTGAATGATTGCTGTTAACTCTATAAAGACATGCTATATGATTATTTTTAAAAGATAATATTGAGAAGAAAACAGTGCCCGAAAAGCCTAAACCATGGAGTTAGTGTCATTTAAACACCCTTATTGAATATCTGATAAGTTGCCTTCAGACAAACTTGAATGATTTAAACAAACTTTAGAATTGCCTACAAGTCTTACAAAATGACTTGGCAAGACAGAAATTATTTCAGAAAGGCCCAAGGCACTTGATTTCATTTACTTTATAGTGCTAAATATATGTGCAAGATGTTAGAACTTCAAGATTAGATTTCGGTGACTGTGAGAACATAGATATCAATGACCAGAACTAAGTGATAGCTGCATCCTGATCAACCCTGAAAATCCTCTCAGCATCTAAATGGAAATTGTGCAGAGCTCACTGTTTTTATTTTAATCTGTATAAACTCCCACCACTGTATGTAACCCACTGTTATTATTTTATTTCATATAGAATATTTATGTGGGCTTTCAAAATTTCACTTGTGACCTCATTTGTTCAGCCCTTTTTTTCTCCTCCTAAATTCATGATTTCCTCAGATGGAATTTGCTACCCTAGGTTTTGTTTCAGGAATGTGACCTTCATGGGTGAGGAAGGATTAGTATTTCTCTGCCCCTGCCTTTTGTTATTTGCTGGAGTTATATAACAACCCATCTTAATGGACAGGGTATTGGATTTGAGTTCTCATGGCCTGGTTCATATCTAGACCTGGCACTATTGATTGTGACAATGGGTCATAAATTTGAGACTCAGATTTATCAAAAGTTAAACCAAGATGGTAATACCTGGCCTATATTTGTGATAATGAACTATAATTATTAATAACCAAAGTGCAATGAAAAGTAAAATTAAGAAGTGTTATATAATTTTGAACTATCATTAAGACAAAATTTACTGGGCTAATACTTTTTTATGATCCCTCCTTTTCTTATCATATTAAATTATTATTAGTGCCAAAAACAGAGAATAAAGACAAGCATATGGAAATGGAATGCACTCATAATGACAAATGTCTGAAACAATGATAACACTTTAGTGGGTTTCTTTCTATACTCTTTCTATGACTATATATGCACATGTACTCTTTTCTAGATATAGAGCTTTTTGTTCTGCTCTTCTATTCGGCATTTTATGGTGATGTCTTGCTTCATTTAAAGTATATATGTTATTTTTGGTGGTGTGTATCATTTCATATTGTGGTGGCATCGTGGTTTGTTTAACCATTTCTGGCTTTTTGATATTTGGGACCCTTTCCTAAGTTTTGTCATTATTAATAATGTCAAAGAGTCTATTTCATTACTTAAAAGAAAATATTTGCTTTGGTGATGGCAAAGGACTTTTTGAAGCACTTTCAACATTTTTGTTTACAGACGGAAATGAGTATCTTTTTGTTGTTTGCTTTTTTATATTTTTATTGTAAAGATATTATACAGAAGGGTTTCAGTTGCATGAGTAAGGTAATGAGTACATTTCCTACCTAGCATTATTACCCCCTTCTTTGTTTTCCCCTACCATCCCTTCTTTTCCCACCTCTCCACCTCCTCCCCAAAGTTGTAAAGTTAATTTTCAACATAGTGTATTGTATTTCTCATTGTTACAATGGGTCAACCTGTATCCTTATTTCAGCATTTTGTTATTTCTTTTACCCTCCCCAAATTAGAAAAATGTATATACAAGATACAGGTCACTGGAATCAAATACAGTGAAAACAGGGGTTATACCACGGGGGAAGAACATACAAATGTTGTTTACTTTTTAAGAGTCACTTTAGTAACCATATTTCATTGAGCAAATGGAGCTTCAAGATATAGGTAGAAGAAAAGTAAGAAGTAGTAGATAAAATTCCATACTGAGTGTCTATCTTTGTGAGAAACTCTTCCAAGGGCTGGATCTTGGAGGCAGAACAATACTTTACTTATAAAAACATTTTCAGGATTTAGACCAGGAAAAGGGCATAATAAACTAGTGTTCTAATTATATTTTAAGGACTTTGTGAAGCATGAATCTGATTAAGTTTCTCTTATATTGACTACTAGAAAGCTTGAAGCCAAACATGTGGCCCATGCATAGCAGCTA